GAGAGAGAGAGAGAGAGAGAGAGACTGACACCAGTGGTTAACCGGGTAAACTGTTTTCATTGCTGAAATCAGTTTTTTTGGCCAAATTTTCCATTTTTTTGTGATTTTTTCTTTTTTGATTGTTGGAATTGTGTCTGGTGACCGTTTCTCAATGTTCTGAAGTGTTTTTGTCCATTGGAATTGTCCGAGGTGACCGTTTCAAAAAAACGCTGAAAATTCTCTAAATGCAAAAATTCATTCAAGTGCACTTTTGCCTCACCGTTTCACCATGGCTTTTTTTTTTTTTTTGGTGGTTTGTTAATATGGTGTTGCGCTCTATGAAATGATGTAAATTTTGGTTAAGAAGCCCTTCGGGTTTTCTTATAAATAGCATTAAAATACCGCCGAAATTTTGAGTCTCCGTTAACCACCACTCCCCAAAGAGCGAGGGAGAACGGTAAAGAGGGAAAAAAAAAAAAAAAAAAAGGAAGAGCTTGAGGAGGCGGGAGACGTTGGTTGGGTGGTGGAGGAGACGGACGAATAGAGGGTGCGAGGGAGGAATGAAGAGCGTGAGGAGGATGTGGAGGAGGGAGAGTGTTAGGTGAAATGTGTCCTCCTCTCCCCCTCTCCCTCTCCCTTTCCCTCTCTCTTTCTTGCGCGCGTGCACCCTTGTCGAGATCTTGAAAAGAAATGCAGTATGCAGTGTTTTATTTCCACCGCAAAGGAAAAAAAAAAAAAGGAAATGCACTTCTCAGGTCGGGCGTTACAAAAGAAGGGAGGCCGTTCGGAGAGAGGAAGGAGGGAGGAGGGCAGGTGGAGATCGGGTGGAGGGAGGAGGGCAGGTGGAGATAGGGCCGAGGAAGGAGATGGGGGGAAGGAGGAGGTCAGCGCGGATCGGGCAGAGGCGGAAGGGGGGGAAGGAGATCGGGGGAAGGAGGAGGTCAGGCTGAGATTGGGCGGAGGAAGCAAAGGGAGGTGGCAAGGTGGAGGGAGGTCAGAGGGATGTTGAAGAGGAGGAGGTTCGGAGGAGGCCGGGAGGAAGGGGAAAGGCGGCAGGGAGAAGCAGGGATGAGGCAGGGCAGAAAGGAGGGGGGAATGCAGAGGTTGCATGGGGTATGGAGGGAGGGAAGAGGTGTGGCGAAGAGAGAGAGAGAGAGAGAGAGAGAGAGAGAGAGAGAGAGAGAGAGAGAGAGAGAGAGAGA